CTCACCTTCTACCCTCCTCCTCTCCCTCTAGCGCCTCCGCCTTCGCCGCCGCCGAGCCCTCCCTCCTCACCCTCTGCCTCTTCCGTAATACTTTTTTTATTTGCTCATTTATGTGTTCATTGTGAGATAATACTAATAAAGTAATCCACTTTCTTATAGGAATCCCATAAAAGCTACTATTGCTGCAACTACTGAGCACTTGGCTAGTTTGCTTCCTCTTCACCTAGTTTACAGTCAAGCACATGAAACTGCTAGCGAGGTACACATTCTGTTCATGTAAAATAGAAAGCATTGGATTTGTTCTTTCTTTATTGGGTTAGATGCAATAAATATAAAATGCGAGAACGAAACTTGTAAAACATTGCAGTCAGCGCTACCCCCTCCTCTCCCACCCCCGAACCCAAAAAAATATAAGAAAGAAAGAAATAAAGAAAGAATAATTAAGACTTTCAAGTAGGCTTTTTTTAAGGGAGAAATGCATAATCCATCTATTAACATTTCACTACATAGAAGAAAGGAAGAAGAGGCTTACACAATAACGTACTACATAGACGGGGAAAAAATGGAAGAAAAAAAGAAGAGGCTTATAGTAAATTTAAAATGAGCAAAGCATAATTTAGTAATGAGTTGAACTCATCAACAGCAAATCATGATTGCAACCTATACAAGCATTCAACACGAGAACTTGAACAAAGGGAAACACTCTCAATAGGAGCATACGTTCCCATCGAAGTTTGACAAAATTAACACCTTCAAAATCTTAATTTGCAAGAATTCCATTAGAAAAAAAGAAATAAATCTTTGCAAGAAAGACCCCACACCTTTCTTCCCATATTATATCCATTCGTAATCCAAGCACTTCTCTATCTCCACACATTATGGTTAAAAAATGCGTCAAAGGAAAGGGGTGGGGTGTGTGTGTGGGGGGGGAGCTCTTGAGTATTGTTCACGCCATTGGTAGGATGGTCGTCTGCTTCTAACCGCAATCTTTGCTATAAATTCATCAACTCATCTCTCTCATCACCTTCTCTCTCATCAACTCATCTCTCTCATCTCTCTCCTCTCTCCCTTTTAAGTTTTGAACATGAACTCTTTTGGACAAGTTAGCTCAAGGAAGTGAGAGAGTGAGAGAGAGAGAGAGAGAGAGAGAGAGAGAGAGAGAGAGAGAGAGAGAGAGAGAGAGAGAGAGAGAGAGAGAGAGAGATTTTTTCTATGGAGAAGCTAAGTTTAAGTATTGTGAGGCAACAACACAATGGGGCAATCAATTTGCCCCCTGGCTTTAGATTCCATCCCACTGATGAGGAGCTAGTAGTCCAATATTTGAGAAGAAAAGTCTTTTCATGTCCACTCCCTGCCTCCATCATCCCCGAGATCAACCTCGGGAAGTGCGACCCTTGGGATCTTCCCGGTAAGCAAGCAAGTGAAACCATTTTCGAATCCAAAATAATAAAACGAACTATATGGCACATAATGACCTGTCATATAGTTATCTCATAGATTTCTTGTACACCAAAAATATATTTGTAGTAAAATGAAATTTACCGCATAGTTAGCTCATCTTAATTTAAGTTGAACTGTATGGTTAGGTCGATGTGAACATGAGAGGTACGGTATTTCTCTCTCCTCTCTCCCTTTTAAGTTTTGAACATGAACTCTTTTGGACAAGTTAGCTCAAGGAAGTGAGAGAGTGAGAGAGAGAGAGAGAGAGAGAGAGAGAGAGAGAGAGAGAGAGAGAGAGAGAGAGAGAGAGAGAGAGAGTTTTGCTATGGAGAAGCTAAGTTTAAGTATTGAGAGGCAACAACACAATGGAGCAATCAAATTGCCCCCTGGCTTTAGATTCCATCCCACTGATGAGGAGCTAGTAGTCCAATATTTGAGAAGAAAAGTCTTTTCATGTCCACTCCCTGCCTTCATCATCCCTGAGATCGACCTCGGGAAGTGCGACCCTTGGGATCTTCTCGGTAAGCAAGCAAGCGATCGAAACCATTTTCGAATCCAAAATAATAAAATGAACTATATGGCACATAATGACCTGTCATATAGTTATCTCATAGATTTCTTGTACACCAAAAATATATTTGTAGTAAAATGAAATTTACCGCACAGTTAGCTCATCTTAATTTAAGTTGAACTGTATGGTTAGGTCGATGTGAACAAGAGAGGTATTTCTTTGCGCTCAGAGAGGTAAAATATGCAAACAGTAATCGATCTAATCGGGCGACTGGATGCGGATACTGGAAGGCCACAAGCAAGGACCGAGCTATTGTATCTTCAAAGTACAATAAAGTGGTGGGGGTGAAGAAAACCCTAGTCTTTTATCGAGGGAAGGGCCCTAGCGGATCGAAGACTGATTGGATCATGCACGAGTATCGCCTAACTAGTTTCCCTCAAAGAAAGAATTCGACTCACATAAGTATGCAATTACTAATTAGTTTGAATTGTTTCCACCTCATTAATTACTTTGATATCTTTTGCTAAATTTTGGAATGACTGTCCTCGATCTTGTAGAGTTCCATCGTCGTTCCTACGAGAGACTGGGTTCTTTGTCGAATTTTTATGAAGAAAAGAGCTATCAAAATGAACGTTGGCAATGGAGAACATCTAGAAGAAGAGGAGCGAGCTATTGAATTCATTGACTTCATGGGCCGACGAAATGAAGACAGGCGTCCATCTTCACCATCGGATTCAGATTCAAGCTGTGTTACAGAGCCTAGGGACGAATCTAGCAATTGAGATGGCATATTAATTGTCATCTCCATGAGGAGGAATACACGTTCTAACAGAACCACACCTATCAGAATATCTTGCATACAAGCATAACGTTCTGCTCTATACAAATTGGCAATGGAAAATCTAGACCATCCATTTTTCTCGTTATGGATTAAAACGATATGCTTGCATGCAGATTATTCTGATAGAATTAGTACTTGGGAAGAAGAGATATCTGTATAACTTCTCTTGAAACATAGTCCGAAAGATAACCTTTGAGTTGTTTCCCTAAATTCTCAAGGGACTCATGTAACTTTGTGCTCTGCCCTTGTAAGAGTTGATGCAAAAGAGAGTCTTTGATGGAAAATTTTCAATGATCTTTGTTTTTTTTATTTATTTCTATCGTTCTTTCGAAAGTTACCTCCCACTGTGCCAAAAGTGTAAAAAGACACTACCACATAATAATATCATCAACGAGAGGCGGAAAGGTACCCGATTGGGTAGGAGTCAAAGGACAAATGCTTTCAGCCCGGGAAAGAGGATCCAATGGGCATAATCCATGTGGTCAGAAGGAGAAGTGGGCCCCATGGATACAAGATAAATCTCAGACCAAGAATATTTGCTCAAGCTTGTACGTAGTCTTGACAAAAGGAAGGGTAGAGATCAACATCATGGTAATTATGACCTCTAATCTAATTGTAACTTCAGCTTTGATCAAGTCTTAGAGACTGATGGAATTTAAAAAATACAACCCTCTACACAAAGAAAACTTTTATTAATAGAATAGAGAATACAATACTTGTTCTTACAAGAACACCTCACTTTCACACAACTCCTTTATTTTGGTGGACACTCACACAAGCCTACACTACACACTCAAGCTTTCAAGCTTACTTCTTGCTTGCTTGCTTAAATGAGAGCCCAAGACCCCTATTTATAGTTGTTTAAGAGGGCTAGGAAGTGTGTGGAAGAAACAATCCTAGCCATACATTATTACCACATTCTACACACTTCTTCTTTCTACATCCTTCTACAATTTTCTCTTAAAAATATCTTTCTTCCACATTTGTTGAGAAGCTTCCATTGTATTGGGCTTAGATGAAATAGAATTGGGCTTTTATTTTCCTTGGGCTGAAAATAGATTGGGCTTTGTAATGGGCTGGTGTTGATCTTCAACACTCCCCCTCAACACCAGCTTTCATTTCTCACAAGTCCAACCTTCTTCTTAAGCTTCAAAAATGTTTCTGTCTTTAGTGACTTGGTGAAGATGTCAGCGATTTGGTCTTCAGACTTGCAATATGTCAGCATCACGGTCTTCCTTTTAACTTGATGTCGGATGAAATGATATCTTGTCTCTATGTGTTTGCTTCGTCCGTGTGCTATCGGATTTTTGGCAAGTGCAATAGCTGATTTGTTGTTGATGAGAATCTCTGTTGGTGCTTCTTGTTGGTGTTACAACTCCTTCATTAGATTTCTAAGCCATATCGCTTGACATGCACCTGCAGATGCAGCAATGTATTCCGCTTCGCAACTTAATAAAGCAACAACTGACTGCTTCTTTGATGACCAAGAAAAGGCTGCTGATCCAATGCTGAACACGTAGCCGGATGTACTTTTTCTTTCATCCAAATCTCCCCCATAGTCACTATCGGTGTAACCGACTAGTCTTGGATCTACACTTTGTGAGTAAAATAATCCTTCATTAATGCTTCCTTGAACATACCTGAGAATCCTCTTGGCCACCTTGAAGTGTTCTTGCCTTGGCTCCTCCATGAATCTGCTCACCAATCCAACCACAAACATTATGTCGGGTCTTGTGATGGTCAGGTACCGTAGGCTTCCGACTAAGCTCTTATACAAAGTTGGATCAATAGAGATTCCTGGTGAGTCTCTCCTCAGCTTCACTCCAACTTCGACAGGAGTTGCAACTGGTTTGCAGTTGTTCATGTTGAACTTCCGAATGATCTCCTTTGCGTACTTTTTCTGAGAGATGAAGATTCCTTTCTCAGATTGCGACACTTCTACTCCAAGAAAGTATGACATTTCTCCAATGTCAGTCATCTCGAACTCCTTGATCATGTTCTTCTTGAACTCCTCGAACATTTTTGGATTATTTCCGATGAAGATCATGTCGTCCACGTAGAGACATACGATCATAATGTCTCCATCCTTCTTCTTGGTATAGAGAGAGTGCTCATAGGGACTCTGCTGGAATCCGTTCTTATGGAAGTATGCATCGATTCTAGCATTCCATGCTCTGGGTGCTTGCTTCAGTCCATACAATGCCTTCTTCAGCTTATAGACCTTTTCTTCTTGATTCTTCATCACGTACCCAGGTGGTTGCTCGATGTAGACTTCTTCTTCTAGATAGCCATTAAGAAAGGCTGACTTCACGTCCATCTGATAGATCTTCCACCGGTTCTGTGCTGCCAATGCGATAATGAGTCGGATGGTGTCGATCCTCGCGACTGGTGCGAACACTTCTTCATAGTCAACTCCTTCTCGCTGACTATAGCCTTTTGCAACAAGCCTGGCCTTGTACTTCTCGATTCCGCCATCTTGATTTGTCTTTGTCTTGTACACCCACTTTACTCCGATTGGTTTATGGCCTTCAGGTAAGGTAGTGAGCTCCCATGTGTCATTTCTCTTGATTGCCTCGATCTCATCATCCATGGCTTTTATCCACTTGTCTTCTTGAGCAGCTTCTTCATAGCTGACCGGATCACATTCTGCAAACAAGCAGAATAGTGTGTAGTCATCCATCATCTCGACAGGTTCTGTATCGTCGTACAGATCTCTTAGACTTCTCATCCTCCTTGTTGTTCCCCCTAAAGGGCTTCCTTCACTTGAGCTGGATGATGATGATGTCGGCGTCGATGTTGAGGTTGATGGAGCTGGACTATTTGGTGGACTTTGTTCTGGTCTTCCAACCTCCTGCAAGTCATCATCATTATCTTCAAAGAACATACCTTTAATGTTTTTGTCTTCATCGGTCCATTTCCAATAATCTTCTTCATCGAACTCCACGTCTCTTGAAATGATCATCTTCTTTGTAACTGGATTGTAGAGCTTGTATGCTTTTGTCCTCCTCTCGTACCCAACGAATATGCACTTTTCTCCTCGATCGTCCAACTTCTTTCTTTTCTGCTCCGGGATGTGTGCATATGCAATACACCCAAACACCTTCAGGTGGTTGACACTTAGCTTGATGTTGCTCCACATCTCCAATGGTGTCTTGAACTTGACGCTCTTTGTCGAACATCGGTTGAGGAGGTAAACTGCACAATCCACGGCTTCTGCCCAGTAAGTCTTCGGTAGATACTTACTCTTCAACATGCTTCTGACCATATCAAGAATGGTACGATTCTTTCGCTCTGCTATGCCATTCTGCTGTGGTGTGTAGGCGGCAGTGAGTTGATGAATTATCCCGTACTGCTTGTTGAAATTGTTGAATGCCTTCGAAGTGTATTCTCCACCTCGATCTGATCGGAGCACCTTGATGTGGTACCCACTTTGCTTTTCTACCATCTCCTTGAATTCTTTGAATTTCTCCAGAGCCTAGGATTTCTCCTTCAGGAAATAAACCCATGTTTTTCTGCTATAATCATCAATAAATGTGAGAAAATACATGTTTCCTCCAAGAGAGACGACTTCAAATGGTCCTGCAATATCTGTGTGGACCAATTGTAGCAGCTCTGTTGCTCTTCTTGACTTTCCAACTTCGAAACTTCTTCTATGTTGTTTGCCCTTCATACAGCCTTCACATAGCTGGTTCGGATGGTTGATTTGCGGCAATCCTTTTACCATTTTCTCCTTCCATAGAAGATTCAGGCCACTGAAAGCGAGATGCCCGAATCGTAGATGCCAGAGCCAAGTCTCGTCTTTTATGATTGACTTCAAGCACTTGACAGGGTCAGCATGAATATTTAAGGTAAACAGTCTATTTCTAGACATGTTCACCTTTGCAATAACTTCATTTTTGTTTTTAATAGTGAGGGCAAGGTCTTTTAGATGTATATCATAGCCTCTTTCAAGGAGCTGGCCTAGGCTCAAAATATTATTTCGTAATGCTAGAACATAGTAGACATCAGAGATGTACCTATTCTCTCCTGTCTTTGTCTGGATCATTATATTGCCCTTGCCTTTTACTGGAATCTTTGACTGATCTCCAAAAGTGACATCTCCTTGTACCGTCTCGTTCAGCTCGGTAAAGAACTCCTTGATGCCGCACATGTGGTTACTGGCACCTGAATCTAGATACCAGATATCTTTATTCTTGTTTTCGCTCTCCTGATATGTTAGCAGGAGTGTTGAAATGTCTGCCTGCTCCCTTTCTACAAAGTTACTTTTTTCTGCCACTTGATTTGATTTCTCCCAACATTCGTAGCTGAGATGACCATATCTCTTACATTTGTAACACTGTGGTTAAGATCTGTCCTCATGGTAACTTCTTCCTTGTCCTCGTCCTCGTGTGCCACGACATCGTCCTCGATCAAACGATCGTTCACGATCTCCATTTCGATCTTGATTTTCATGGCCTCCTTGGTACTGTCTCCTACGACCTTGTTGGAAGTTTGAGCCACCTCGAAAGGAGCATCTGCCTCTGTAGCCTTCACGTCCTCTTCGACTATCTTCTTTGATAGTCATCTTACTCTGCAAGGCTTGTTCTAGATTCTCCGCTTGATTTGAACTAATGTTTATATCTTGTTCATAAGCTTGTAGAGAACCTTGCAGCTCATCAATAGAAACTTCGGAAAGATCTTTAGACTCTTGTATTACCGGAATAATATATTTGAATTTAGAGTCTAAAGTCCTAAGTATCTTCTCCATAATTCTTACATCATTAATTGCTTCTCCATTTCTCTTCATTTGATTAGTTATTGTCTGAACTCTACTAAAATAGTCTGATATTGATTCTGTAGCTTTCATCTTCAAATTTTCAAATTCAACTCTTAATGCTTGGAGGCGTACCTTTTTGGCTCTTTCCACACCTTGATAGGATTTTTGTAAAATCTCTCATGCTT